CCGTTGCTGCCTCGTCTTCACTTTCCAGAACCATTGAGGCCATGACGCCACCTGTGACGGAATCACAGACAACCACTCTTGTTGTCGTGCCGCAAGAGCCAGAACAACGAGACGAAATGCCACCAACAGACCAAGGGGCAAGTTCGCCATTGCCCATCACGGCCGGGACGCGAGAAATCAGGAGTGCCAAGAACCGCTCGAAGCTGGTGGAGCTCCACTCCCGCATCGATCGACAGCGTTCGACGAAGAAGAGGATGGCGGCTTCTCTCACGGGGAACGTCAAGGAGAAGAAGCCAGGACCGAGCGGGGCTCGTTGCCGCCAGGTGCGTTGTTCGTTACCGGAGAAGAAGACAAGCACGGCGGCGCTGGGCACGGCGGCGCTAGGATCTCCACCCATTCGCCTGGTGGTTCGGCCATGGCAGGAGGAAGGGGTGGTGAGGAGGAGTGGTGGCGACCGTCGAGTAGCCGGAGTCGGGCTTGGCCCTGGCCGACAGGAGAAGAGCTCACCGCCGGAGATGGTGGCGTTGGAGAGAGAGACGGAGAAGGAAGGCGGCGGGAGCTTTCTTCTCGCAAACCCTAGAAGCAGCAGAGTGCAACAGCAGCAGCCCTTAACTTTGGGCCAAGCGACTGGGCCAGAGCGTGCTGATGAGCCAACGGGAGTGGGCTGGCCGGATCAACAGAGTGGTCCAAATTTTGGGCACGGGAAAAGCTGGTTGGTTCGCGAGGTATACTTCGTTGGGCTTGTTTCGGTCCAATCGGGTTATCAGAGCAACTTGCGGTTTAGGCAGGAATGGGTCTTGCTTGGGCTCTTGATGGGCCGAAAGGAAATGCAAGGGAGGCTGTCTTTGGGCCGACCCGTCGATGGCAGGCCTGTTCACTGGAGACGGATGGGCTTCATGGAGCCTGGAAATTTGGAACAGGACAAGGAAGAAGTCTCCTTGGGCCGAGCACCACAGCAGCAGCGAATTGGGCCAGGAGAAGTCATGGAAGACAGAGTTGCTGGTGTGGAATTTGTTCGAGTTCTTGAACCAGATTGGAAAAAAAGGAAGCGCAAGACGCGAAGGAGTAGACACGCGAATCACTCAATTAAGGCAGGAAAACGGATCAAGTCGGTCAACCTTGAGGGCAAGGTTGGTCTGAAGGGGGAGGAGATGTTAGAAACACGATTTTTCTATATTATTATTATAATCATTATTAGGATAATTCTTATTATGGTTAGTAGTCATTTAATAGAATTAGGTTTATTATTAGGGTTTTCCGGTATTTCCTATATAAATATGTACTTTGTGATTCATTAGGGAGGAATAAGAAGCGTATTAAGAAAATCCCTAAACCCTATTCTCTCCCAAATCCTCTCAATTTCCGTTCTTTCCCTAATCTGGCCGCCGGCCATTCTTTCTCGTTCTTTCCCAAATTCTACCTCTTAATCCCTAATTCCCTCTCTCAATTGTTCTAAATCCCCAATTCTAATCCCTAGTTAGATCAATCCCTAATTGATCTAGCTAAATTCCCCAATTCCCATTCCGTAGGAAACCTTGTTTCCTACACTGTGGAACCTGTTTTAGGAGGCTGTTTACTTAAGCTACAAGTTTGGATATTATGCACGAGTTGGGGTTCCTTTTCCGTTTGGGTTTGTTACCTTTAGACGTAGTAAGATTAATTAGCTTTCCTTGTTTGTTTTGTATTTGAATTAGGTTTAAGTTTACTTATTTAAAGACCTACAAACTCCATTGTAATAGCTAGACGTCAGTAATTAAAAAACTTGTTCATTGAGTGATTTGCTCACAGAATTGTCCTTGTTGTGTGGATTGTTTTCCAGTGACGAGCGAGCCTTGCATCGATTGAGTCATCACCTCAATCGTGGTCAGGTTGCATCTTCTTTTGGGTCGAGCCTCTTCCCCGTTCTTCGATGTTGAAGTTGCACAATCCAACTCTATCAATTCCCCTGTTCCTCTGTTCTTCCTTCGAGTGACTAGGTTTCTCGACAGCAAACAACAGCAAACTTGAAAGGACGAGAGACTTGCAAGCTAGGACATTCAACCTCGTGGGTTTGGGGCTTATCATACCCACTCCCAACAGGTTATTTCAAAAACCAAACCGGTTCCAATCTCATTAGTACGACAACAGGGGACTAAAGACAGCAACAGCTTCTCTAGTCAATCATAAGAAACATTCAGGGAGCTCGATAATGCAGGGATGAAAGGAGACAAACTTCGGTACATTTACAGTCAGACTGTATGGAAAGAAGGGAACAACTTCCTGTTGTTTACGGCCATATTCAACACTCTTTTTATTTGTTAGTTCAGCGCAATGATATGCTACATACATTACACTAGCTAATAATTGATCTACGCTCATTATAGTATTGATAGATTAGATTTGCTCTATCCATTCTAAAATTGTTTCAAGCACCGACATAACCAGAAGCGCCCCTTATTTCAAAGAGAGGAGCGTTAGATCAGTTCTACCACACTACAAGATTATGAGATTGCATTCTCTACATGTCTGACATGATTTTCAAAGCCTCAAAACACGCACCCAATGTTCTTTGACATGCTAAAACTTGACATAATAGGGGGAAAACGCGCCGTATCATAAAAGTAAACGAGATGAAGCTTACGAGAGAAATGGCCAATAAACAATTGAAATTATCTTGTATCTTATAATATCACTAACGAACTAGAATTAGCATGATATCGTCCTAAGATGATCAAAGTATGACAGTTATTACACTCTAAAGCCGAAGAGATGAGGCATAAAAAATGTATAAATAAGACGTTGTCAAATCCTGAAAAGTTGATGTCAATTAACTAACTCACATAGCAATGGCAAGCATACTAAAACTAAGCTCGTACTATAATGGCACAACAATTTCGTATTCCTCAGGATTTAAGTGTATTATTACTCAACTTGATCGGCCCCGCCACCTGATCAAGCTTCAGCTCCCGGTCCCTTTCTCTCTGGTGACCTTGTCGAGGATCTCAGAGGTTTGATGAAGTCGATTAGAGCCCGCACTTTCTCAAAACACCGTTCTGTTTCCTGGCAGACGAACACGCCAGCTTTAAGAACATGTCCGATAGTAGCATTCGTTACTATCCGGTCGAATTGTTGGGTGCAATAATCCTCCTTCGCATTCCATAATTGCACTCAAAATGGGACAGTAGCAAGATCATCGAAAACTTTCTTTGTGATGATGGGGGTCTTGGCTCGAAGGTGGAATATTTTATCCTTGATCACCCATGGCGTGCGTTTCGGCACCCAAATTTTGGATGCCTCACTTGGAAGTATGAATTCAAACAATTCGTGCCTCGCCTCCATTACTCTAATTTGTCCCTTCCCCTACCAGGGTACGTTCAAAGCATCGCGTAGTTCCATTGGTGTGACCTTACTGACCGTGAAGAGCCGACCCAGCAAAGTTCGTGAGTCACGAAACTTAGTAGACTGGACTTCCTTAAGAGAGAATTGTACCACCTTATCATCCATGACGTCGCCATATCCCTAGCCTACACAGCAATCAGAGGGTTATGTAAAACGTTTCCCTTATCCGTTACCCTATTTTTCGTTAGGATAGTCTGCCCTTTTCCGAGATTCAGAAGAAGGTAGGGTTAAGGAAGTACAAATAATAGGAAGTGTAACGAGATATCGAGGGATCGAGGTAGTTGGTACCCCGTGACCATCCAAGGGATGACTCCATCGCCATTACCGGGCGAGAGGATTGTCCCCTATCGCCATTACCACTTGGAGGTTAGTATGCTATACATATAGATGGTTTTATCATACTTGAGCAAAATCAAAGGGATGTTAGTTCGATTCTCAGTGAGTGAAGAAGAAAACTATTTTTAGATTATCGTTAATTTCAATTATCTTTGTGTTTTTCGTATGAGTAGAAGTAGCATAGTGGTTCGATTTTTCGTTGTGTAGAGCCCCTAAGGCACATCTACGTAAAAGATTATCATCGAGATTGGGATCTGCCATGTCGTGTCAAACTAAATCCATTAGCTTGGTTCATGAATTGTTCTTGAATGGTCATATCTGACTCATGAGAAGGGGAAGAAATGGATCTATGGATTTCGCAACTAGGGTAGAGGATGAGATCTTAGACTCCGTAGCAAATTTCTCCTGCAGAGAACCAAAACTATGTCTCCCTTTCACTCTTTCTTCAAGGTCGCAGAAAAAAATCGACAACGCCAGAGAAGAAAATTGGGCTAACTGAAATGAACCTGCAAGGTTGTGGCTGAAGAAAGCTATAAGAAGTTCCCTCCATTCGCCTCCCAGGAGCCGCACGCTAAATTAGATGTCCTGGTCTTCATCTTCAATCTTAAAGATATTTATTGACTGGACCAACATTGAAAATTATATAGATTTACTTGTTGTTTATAGGTATTTTTTACAGGATTCCAACTTGAGACCTCTAGTTTCAAGACTAGTGGAGAGATGGAAAGTGAAATTTCATGGGCATCATTTGGACGGATCAATTGGACAATGAAACAATTTGGTCAATTGTCTCATTATACAAAACGAGTCATTTAAAACGGATCAATTGAATTACCTGACCTGACCTCAGATAATTATAATTGTCTCAAAATGAGTCGATTCCAAATTTCTCAGGTCAAATTGTTTCATCCAAATTTTAGCCAAACGGGTCAATTTGGACCAATTATCTCAAAAGAGTCAACTGGGTCACATTGATCCGTTAATTCCTCAACCACACGATCCTGAATTTTAAAAAAAATTATAAAAAAATAAATAAATATTTTATTTTTTGTTCTATTTTTTATTCTGAATCTATTTTGAAATTCCTGACTTTTCTATGATAAGCCTCTAAGAAAATCCCCTGTCAAACCCTAGACAGCTCCCGCAAAGGGTACTCAATGGTGCATTTAGGCGGCTTTTCATGAGCCACATCCACCTATAATTTCCCGGTGAGACTGAGAGTGAGTTGCCTGAAAATTTTGCTCCCAAGTAAAAGGTTTAAACAGACTAATGGAAACCATGCACAAATCGGCAGTTACCGCCCACATTTGTTCTTAAGTTTCTTTTCTGTGTCGTCCTCCCTTCTTGTGCTTGCACCAAGTAATTTTCTGTTTGACAACTCAACTGGAAAAGTAATTCTCCAGTCCTAGCCACGGCAGAACAACATATTTAGGTTAGTTTACCAAAGGCCAACCCTGCAAAGAGAAACACCTCCAAAAGGCACAAGGCTTAACTAGTGCTGCTTTGATTACAATAAACATAGCATTTCTAGCTACAATCTCAGTCCACCAAAAACCTCTTGAGAATACAGTGGTTGAAACCAAGTGAAGCTTCAAGTTCAGAACCTGCACGCTGCCAAAGTGGCATGCACAGTTGACAGAACCTTGAATATCCACAACCAACAGTCAATGCTTCTACCTGGTGAGAGCAAGCGAAATCCCAAGAGTGAAGGGTCAACTATTGATCCTTTTCCTGGGTCCAAATCTTCACAGTTTTGTCGTTGCCAAGTGCACCAGATGCGATCATATTCTGCGTCGGATGACATGCTACAGATATCACAGTGTCAGTATGCCCTTCCAACTTCTGCATTATTTTCCGGGTCTGGAGTTCCCACAGGTATACACAATTGTCTTCAGAGCCGCCAACAATGTACTTCCCATTTGTTATTGAGAATGCTGATGAAATACAGAACTTGGAGTTTGTGTGGCCTGTGTATGTTTTCAGGAACTTCCCAGTTGAAAAGTTCCATAGCCTCTGCAAGCAAAACCCCAGAAACGTGTCCATATTATAACATGGAAAGACTATAAGAAATTCTTGTTATAAGGTCCTCAAGAATCAACACTCAGAAAATTCAAATCCCCTCGGTATACTGATTAAACTGGGTACACAGAAACTATAAACAGCCTACACAAAATGAGATTTATGAACTCTGCATCCATCTACCAGCTTCTAGCAACGAACTAAACAAATTGAGTATGAGCATAGCAAGCATGCAACTCAAGAGGACATGGAAGAAACTCCCTAGTGAGTTTATCGAATGGCATCCCCTGCTTTAGTTATGAACCAGAAATTTGCAGTAAATATAGCACCAGTCCAACAGATTGCCAAGGGAAAACAAGAACAAACATAAAATGCTTAAACAATAAAACAGCAGAAATGTTAACTCAAAGAAAGTTCGCTTCCTTAACAGGAACTAAAAGAGTTTAAGACGCTGAGTTATCTCTCCGTCACAAAAGACCAGCCAGGCAAAACTTTAGACCTAAACCCTCCATATCTATAGCTTGCTTCTCCTTGGAATCAGGCCAGCCATTGCTCACCAAACAAGCAGCAGGAAACATCAACAAAACCAAGCACGGGTAGAACTTGGTAAAATAATCAAGTAATCGGTTGCTTTTCTTCTGCAAGATATGCGCACGGGCAACCTTTAGCAGCAAACCACACAAGCTAAGCTATCTCTAAAGAGTAAAGATCCATAGCGAAGGCCATTCATAATAAACCAGTACAACACAGTATAGCCCAGAGCAATAAGGACAGTAACTCCCCAACCCCACAAAACTTCAGCTCATGAACTCAAAACTCCAACAGAACCAATTCGCATCAATGGAACATTAAATATCCCACAAATTGAAAGAGAGTTAACAATTAAATAGTTAGGAGACTCACCAAAGTATTATCAAGGGTTCCAACGAGAATGAACTTGCCATTGGGAGAAAACCTAACAAACGAAACGGGAGGGTTCTCATCGTCAATCAGAGTCTTCATACAATGCCCAGTCCCGGAATCCCAAATCCGGCACAACCCATCGTAGCTACTTGAAACGATGAGGGAGCCGTCCCGGTTGAAATCGACGGAGGTGACGGGATCGGAGTGGGCAGGGAGAACCTTCAGGCACTTGCCGCTCTTGACGTCCCAAATCCTGACGGTCTCGTCAAAGGAGCCAGAGACGATCATGTTACTCTGAGGGTTGAAATTGGCGCAGAAGACGTAATTGGTGTGGCCGGTGAAGGACTTGATGGAGGATCCCGTGGTGACGTCCCAGAGGCGGAGGGTTTTGTCATCGGAGGCGGAGACGAGGAAGCGAGAGTCGGCGGAGAAGGCGACATCGGAGACGCCCTGCTGGTGGCCGTGGAAGTCGTGGACGTGGGTGAGAGGGGACGAAGGAGGGTTTGATGGGGAGAGGGAGTAGGTGCGGAGGGTTTTGTCGGCGGAGGAGGAGACGAGGAGGCGGCCGTCGGAGGAGAATTTGACGGCGGAGAGAGGGCGTTTGTGGCCGGTCAAGGTTTGGGTTAGGGCGTAGGGTTTGAAGGGTGGCGATGAGTCATTGGCGACATCGGACATTTTCTCTTTTCGTTTGGGTTTCTTCTTAGTACAGGGACGGAGATGGATAAGAATAAAGAGCTTAGAGTTGGCTCTTCCGCAAACTTTCAATAATAAAATGTCAGGCAGCGGAGGAGTACAATTGACTCGCTAGATTGAAACTAGGGCACCTAGCGAGTCGAGTCGACTCTAGTTTTTCTTAATTTGACTTTGGTTCGTTTATAAATTTTTCAATCAATAATTATTTGTTTACCAACGAGTTCATCTTTTATTGTTTGCTTAAACTTATTGGAAAATGTGTTTCCTTTATTGTTATTTAGCTGCTTATGTCTTCAAATTCATCAAATGAGAGCTAGCCCTGCATTTAATTAGTTGAGTCTACTAGCTTGACACGAAGCACAACGAGCAAGCATATCTAGTTCTTATATACTATTCATTATGAGGGTTTTTTTTATAATTTTCATAAACTTTAATGGCATTACACTAAAGCCACATATTTACAAATATTTACACTGAGGAATGCTCAGAAAATAAAAGAAAAGTTCATTGAATTGACATTTGTGGACAACTACACACAACATCCCTTTGGGAGAGCCTAGGCTGGTTACATAGATGAGGTAAAGTTTAAGAGGATTTTTTTATATAATTTTCATCAACGTTAGTGGCATTACACTAAAGCCACATATTTACAAATATTTACACTGAAGAATGCTCAGAAAATAAAAGAAAAGTTCATTGAATTGGCATTTGTGGACAACTACACACAACATCCCTTTGGGAGAGGCTAGGTTGGTTACACAGATGGGGTAAAGCTTAGGGTTTTAAATAAGGATGTGAATGATATGTTGATTTCTTTTTCTAGCTCCGAACAGTTTTTCCTTACTACTGTTTATGCATCCAACGAGGAGAGGGAAAGATTGCTAACTTTATCGCAACATGAGTAGATGAAAGGTAAATGGATTTCCATGGATAGTTGGAGGCGAATTTAATGTCGTACTTAATCCGATGGAGGCTTCCAATAGTGTTTCTATCTGTCTCTAGTATGTCAGCTTTTAGAGAATAAGTGAAGATATAGAAGTCTGATTCGGGCATAATTACAAATATTTTACTCCTCATATATTGATTGTTTGACTTGGTTATCGTTGTTTCTTGACCTATTTTACACTAGGTTGTGCTTCTTTTGTCACATTTCAGGTCCTAGTACGTGTGGGGAGGTCTGAGACGAGTTTCGGGTCATTTGGAGGTCAAAATGAACCAAAAAGTGGAGGATGTAAAATGTTCACGGGGAGCACTCATTTGTCATGCCCTCTGGGGGTGAAAATCTCCCCCAAGGAGGGAAGAGCAAACTTCACGGGCAGCACTCAATTGTCACGCTGTGAGAGGGTGAAAATCACCCCAGACCATGAAGTTTGCATTTTCCAACAGCCATTATGCGTCTCGTGGGCCTAAAAAATTTCATGGTCCCGTGATTGTGAAAATCATCCTATGACCGTGAAACTAGCCCAAAATGGCATTTTTTTGGCTGAGATCACCATCTGCTTGTTATTATCACCCCTATGAATAGTGATTGTGTAGTCGGCACTGTCGGGCAAATATAAAGACAACATTGTCGAGTCATCCTTGTGTTTGGAAGCTTCCATTATATCATTTGAGCTTAATTGAGGTTCCACATGAGTGATTTGTACATAGTTTGCTAGGGATGAAAAGAGAGCAAAAGTGAGTGTTGGAGGAAGTTTTTAAAAGTGAACATTGTTCATTAAGTTCAAGAATGTGGCATGTGTTTGAAGTTCTCTATTAGCCCTCAACAAGTGAAAAGAAAAGAGAGCAAAAGAAAGGGGGGAAAATAAAGAGGGCTAGGAAGAAAAGAGAGTTTCCACAAAAGTTGATTATGCTCTTAAAAAGTTGTTTCGTGACATGCAAGCTATTGAGACACTTACATGTTTGTTTACCTCATTCACTCTTGCGCTTGAAAAGTTTGATAGCAAGTGTAGCAAAGAAAGTTTGTTGTGAATGGTTTGGTGATCGGTTATGGTTTGGAATAGTGGAAAGTGTGGTTTTTAGTCGATGCCAGTGGCCATTGTTTGTAGAAGAAGGTTCTATTTGAAACCATAGAACCTTTGTGTTGGTTTTGGGTTGAAGATGTGGAACCCCAGGCTATGTTTGCCACCACCCAAAAAGCCTTCTCCCCACATCCAAAACCCTAGCCAGTTATATGAACCCTTGTCTAAGACCTCCGGACAAGCTAGTGATGACACCCATCTTGTGAGCTCTAGCATTTAGAGTTTACCGTCATGGTAAAGAGACGATAGGGCTGAGCGCTTGAGTATGCACATCTTTTGCATCAAAATGGTACTGACCCTACTGGTCGAGAGTGAGTGATTGATTCCTCATGATTTGTTCTTTTCATGTATCCCGGTGAGGACCTAGTTTGCTCGATCGTTTGTTCCTAAGACTTGATCTTTATGCATGGATAACTATGATTGGTGAGTCATCATGACAGTTTATGCTTTGGTTTGTGTACAAGGTGAGAACTCTTTCTTTTCACGGTCTTATTGCATTCGAATGTCATTTATGGTGGTTGTTAGGATTGTTGTTGATGTTGTCCATGTGTTGGTGTCTAGTAGCCATTGTGATTCATTTATTTTGTGCCCTATGACATCCCCCCAAATTTTGTTGAGAAAGAAGTTGTAAGCTACCTTGTTTTGTACTTGGTTTGCTTGGCGACAAGCAAACGTTCAAGTGTGGGGGGGGTGATTCGGGCATTCCACATATTTACTCCTCATATTTTGATTGTTTGACTTGGTTATCATCGTTTCTCGACCTATTTTACGCAAGGTTTTGCTTCTTTTGTCACACTATAGGTCCTAGTACATGTGGGAAAATCAGGGACGAGTTTTGGGTCATTCGGAGGTCAAAATGAGCCAAAAAGTGGTGGATGTGCAATGTTCACAGGCAGCACTCATTTGTCACGCCCTCTGGGGGTGAAAATCTCCCCCAGGAGTGAAGAGCAAGACTTCCTAAAACTCTTAATGTTGAAAATTTGGCTAGATATCGCCCTATTGCTTGCATTAACATACTATACAAAATCATAGCAAAAATAATTGCCCATAGAATCAAACAAGTCCTCCCAAGGGTCATAAGCAAAAATCAGTATGCATTTATCCAAGGAAGAAGTATTGCAGATAATAAATTGATGGCCCAGGAATCGATACAGGATTACAATAAGAAAATGATTACTTCCCGTACTGCTATTATGATTGACCTCCAGAACGTTTTCGATTCAGTGAATTGGTCTTTCCTTTTCTGTGTCATGGAGAGTATGAGATTTCCTTCAAAGTTTATATCCTAGATCAAGGTTTGTCTGAGTTCAACTCACTTTAGTGTTTGTATTCATGCTTCTTTATTTGGGAACTTTGTTGCAAAGAAAGAAGTAAGGCAGGGTGATCCCTTATCCCCTTACCTCTTTGTCATTACCCTGGAACCCCTTTCTGGAATGTTTGATCTGGCTGCAAAGACAGGACAACTTCCTTATCACCCCTAGTGCAAGAAGATTGAGCTCACGCACTTGTGTTTTACGGATGATCTCCTCATCCTTACTGAAGGTTCAGCAGCAGCTTTATGTAGAGTCAAAAGCTTACTTGATCAGTTCTATTGTATCTCTGGATTATGTTGCAAACTGTAGAAGTGCCAGGTCTTTTTAGGGGGGCTTGTCAATCAATTTAAGCAAAATGCTTTGACAGTGTCTGGATTCCGAGAAGTAGCCCTTCCAGTCAGATACTTGGGATGACTTCCTTTATTTGCTGATAGGCTGAGAAGCAATGAATGTGCTAAGTTGGTTAATAGATTTACAAGTAGGATAAGAACATGGAGAGCCAACAAACTCTCTTATGCGGGCAGAATACAATTGGTGTCATCTGTAATCTATTCGTTGATTAATTTTTGGATGTCAATATTTGTTTTACCGAAGAATCTTCTTGATCAAATTCACAAGCTGTGTTTTGATTTCCTTTGTTTGGAGATGGACCTGGCAAGGCTAAGGTGACTTGGAATCTTATAGCTACTCCTAAACAAGAAGGAGGGTTGGGGTTAAAGGATCTGCACACATGGAACATAGCTTGTTGTGACAGACTGCTTTGGCTTCTATTTCTGCAAGGGGACAACTTCTAGGTCGCATGGATTAGAAGATACAGAGTCAAGAACCGTTGTATTTAATCCCTTCATGTTGCAACTGTCGGTTCTTGGGTCTTGAAGCAAGTGCTGAAGCTTGGAGGTTGGTTTCAAAACAGATTGCAGGTTGACAGTACAGGGCAAGTCACTTGGGAAGGACAAACTCTGGTGAAGTATTCTGTTCAGCAAGTTTGGGAAACTATCAGGATCCACGAACCTAAAGCCTTGTGGTTGAGGGTTCTGTGGACTAAATATTCTATTCCCAAATATCGTTTTCTCTTATGGTTGATTATACTAAACAGAATCAAGACTAAGGAAAAGCTGAAAGCGTGGGGAGTGATTGATGACCCATCTTGTGTGATGTGTGGTGCAGCAGCATGATCATTTATTTTGCAGTTGTAGCTATGCACAACAGTTCTTTATGGTTGTTTTTCACAGAGTTCATAGCTGGCCAGGTCAATGGGATGTCTATTTGTAGCATGCTTGCAGGGAGGTGAATAAAGGTGGGACTTATGGACGTCTTTATGGAACTTTCTGGAGCTGGATGATGGGTTATTGTGGAAAGAACGCTGCAGTCGTGCATTTGGTGGACCTGCGAAGCAATTTCAAGTGCTTGTTTCCTCCTTCAATGAGTAATTATTGGTCTTTGCTATGGCCATAAGGCTGACTCCAATGCAGCCTGCATTTATGGAGTTCTCGCCATTAATGGCGATTTTGGAGCTCCAACGCAGACCCAAAAAATGGCGAAAATCGGCATTTATGGAGGGCATCGGCATCTGGGCCGCTAAATATGGGGGAGGGAATGCCGAACTCGGCATTTATGGAGGAGGAGATTCTGCTGCGCGGCACAACCGCCGGGGCTGGGCGGCGCACCGCCCAGCCTCAGCGGCTGTGCCGCCAGCTTTTTTTTTTTTTTTAATTGTTGTTTAGTTAATTAGGGAAGGGGAATTAATTAGGGGAAGGGGAATTAATTAGGGGAAGGGGAATTAATTACGAATTTCTGGTATTAATTAATTAAGGAATTTGATTAAGAGAATTGAATGTAATTAATTAGGGGAAGGAGAATTAAATTGAATTAATTAGGGAAAGGGAATTAAATTTATGTTTGTATTTAGGCTTTTTAGATTGTATTTAATTTGTGTTTAATATTTGTGTATTTAGGCTTTTTTTCTTTTTTTCTAAGATGACTTAAATTGAATTCATTTTATTTAAAATTTATGTTTATCATCTTTAAGTTGTGTGTAAACCCAAATTAGGTCCATAATTTTTTGCTAAAAAAAATTCGGTCTCGAAATTTAACAAAATTCTATCAGAAAATTTGTATTTAAAAATGATGACGAACTATACAAAAATTAACATGAACAAATTATGTTAAAGTTTCGATAAGTACATTTTTCAATAAATGGAAAAACTGGAAATATTAAAAACCCCAAATATGGAGTTTGTTGCATTGGAGCAAAAGAAGGGAAAATGGGGTCCAATCCCCAAATTTGGGGTTCAAGGCCCCTATATTTGGGGTTTTGCATTGGACTTGGCCTAAGCGTTTTCTTTTCTGAGCTTAAAAGTTGTTCTTCCTTCACTTTCTTCTGTAATTGCAGCTTTTAAACTCTTGTAAGGACTGTCGTCCTAGGTTTTTTCGCGCCTTGGCTATTTTTCCAAGCGAGCTTCAATGGAAAATGGAAAACGTAATTACCGAAAAAAATTATTTATCTCATTTTTCCTTTATCCATTTATTTTAATCACATATGGCCTGTGTTATATAAAATAACCACATATGACCTATAAAAACCTTTTAGCAATCCTTTTTTATTATTTTTGTTTATGTGAACATTTGTTTTTGCTATCCTTAAATCGACATCCTTGTTCATATTTGACGCACCTTCCGGCGATGTGTTTTTCATTTTTGAGTTCTTATTTATTGGCATTTTTCTTAGGTTTTCAACTAATCAACTAAAAGTAAACCGATCACGCGTATTTGGCTCACGTGTATATCACTTAAGCATTTTCCATTTTCGAATTCTTATAGATTGTCAATTTTTGTGAGTTTTCCGACTATTCAACTAGATATTAGTTTTTGTGTTCTTTGCAGGTTAGTTTTTTTAATTTTATAATCACATGTAAAACAAACTAATCTGACCAAATACAAGGAAGAAATTATTGAATCTTCCAAAAGCGTAACTAGTCTCGTTTGATTAAGAAATGTCTACAAAAAATTTGGAGAACGAAAAGAACTACGTACATATGATCATCAAGATTTGGCAGCCATGCAAAAATCGCCAATGTTGCAACAAGTCCGCTACCCTGCCCTCAACGCCCGTCTCCCGAACCCCATCTGCTTCTTCCAACTGTAACCAAGATATCTCTTTGACCCACTTTACCTTTCCCTACTAAAAATCAGGAAAACTTTTCTTTCTGAAAACCCAAAATAAGCCCAAAAACAGCCACTGTTCTGCTTCACCTATATCATACAACTTCTACCCTGCTTCAGACTTCTATGTACAGGTTGGTAGTGGAAACAACGAGGTGACTGACTGCTACTGTACAACATTAGCCAACGTAGTAGGAGACCATGGGTTCACATTAACTGGGAAAGTAAGACTTATTGTTAGAGTGCCCATATCGAAGACCTGCCTGCCCGAATTGTGGCACTCCAATCAATCTCGGGTCATTCCAACATGGCAAGTCATTGCCCCTCTGCTGCAACTCAGATGGACTTCCAGCCATTCCAAAGTGAGTAGGAGGACCACCCCCGATGTATCGGTGTCTGCAGCCTGGTGTGCCATTGTTCCACTGATCCTGGTAAAGACAAGACACCACAAGTCGGAGGCTGGTATCATCTCAGCTGTACTAACAACTGAACTCAAGGATGAAAATAAAAAGCATGTAATCGTACAGACCTGCTGCTGGTTGATGTACACGCTGGCCGGTGGCGCTGATGAGCAGCTTTCGCTCCAAGTTGCGAGCCCTGGACACGAAGCGCTGCTGCACCAACCACCTTGGGGATTACCACCACTGCGTAACCAGGAGGAATCTGGTGGTCTGGTCGTTGTCAGCCTGAGACAAGCAAGGGGTGGCGACTGTAGGTAGTAAGAAGCAGCATGATTGCGACCTTCGCTCCACAGGGCTTGGGGAGATAAGTCTCGGTGATAACTTTGTAAGATGCAAGGTGGTTTAAATGGTACGTGTCCTCCAGAGCAAGCAGGAGTATTTGTTAACGAGGGAGTACATCTGCTGCTACCACTATGAGGAACAGCACTAGCAGGCAACTCTTTCTTCTTTTCCGGAAACTCAATTTGGGACGTGGCGACCCAGTCTTCAATGGTTATTCCCTGCTTGGCAGCGAGTTCCAGCACACGTTTTTCATCTAGCCCCAATCCCATGAGCAAGTTCCACAGGTTCCTTTGAGCTTCCCGTTGGTTGTGGATGATTTGATCTCTCATCGCGACTCCAAACTGGAGCTCAGTATTACCCATTTCCTGCATTGAATGTGTTGAGTGTCGCAGTCAATCCATCAGAACCTCACACTTTACCAGCACATATGATTTTGGGTTTAGAAAGGCTCACCAGAAGTCTGTACTGGTTAAGTATCCGCAAGTAGGTCTTATTCCCATGATTGCTAATGGCCTCTTCGATCATCTCTTGGAGTTGGCACCGACGTTTCTCGTTAGCTTCAACATCCTGTACAGAAATCAGCTTAAATGACAATGCCACAAGGTAAACCAAGAGTAATTTTACTCGCCACAAGCAAGTCCTCACCTTCTGGTAGTTGACACCAGCCTCATCATTGTCACGGATATTATCAAGAATTATTTGTCGCCTAGACCTCAATGCCTCCACCACTCTCCCTTCTTTTTCAACAGTCTGCAACAAGTAAAATGGAGTTTATATGTCCATCTACAACAGAATACCCAAAGCTGACCCAACTAAAACATAACTTGCTGCAGGGATCTTGGAATGCAAAATGTTCTATTATACACTTGTCCTGGTTGGCCTTCGTACGCAACATAGATAGAGGTTGTTTGTTCCTTCACATTTTGATAAAAAAAAAAACCTCCATGCAAGTCCAACATATATCTGTTTCCACAAAGTCGGGCCCCTCTCTAGACAACGATGTAGTTGGGCCACTCTGATAAGGGCTTTTGAAGGTCAAATCTCCTAAAAGAGAGAAAATTCACGCATTCTGCCAGTTCGTGAACTGAGGAACCACTAAATAAGAAAGCATCCAATGGCATAGCATCTAAATTCTTTAGAAGACACACCGTTGAAATTTACCTTCACCCCTTCTCCACTTCATAAAAACAAATGGATAATGAAAATTGCCCACCATATTGCAACTGACCTGCTGCTTTGCAACTGCCTTGTCAAGCTCCTGGAGTTCAATGCGGTTACGAAGGTTAGTTTCTTCAAGCTCAAACAAAGCCTTCTGTAAGTTTATCCGCTCCTGAACATTTTCACTTGTTTCACGGCTCAAGCTATCTAACCAAGATAACTCGTCATCTTCAACTCTTTCTCTTGGTTTGGATGTCAGTTGTGATTCCTTTTCGGCCAATTCCTTTCTCAAGCGGCAAACTTCAATCTGTATACCTTTTACGTTAAATTTCAGCAGAAATGTTATATAATGAACTCAACAAAGAAAATGCACACAATCTTACCTGAAGACTATCAATCATTCTCTGATAATCCGACACATGGGTATCCACTGTGCCAACATTTTTCTGAAATAAGAAAAACGCAATCAAGAGAGTTGGTATAAAGTTGCCACAAAGTACAGTTCTCGTCTATGCTATGCTACGCACTGGAAGGTGAACAGAGAAAAGGATGATGTTCAACTGAAGTAACAGGTGATCCAGAAAAAGGATCAGAGAATACTGAATATCACATATAGGCTACAATAGAACTTCCCTAGACATATTAATTCACCTGAATATGTGTCTTTATTTCCTTTGCACGATCAGCATATTTCAAAGTGTTGATGGTATGATGATACTGACTTTCAGCTGGAGATATTGTAGCAACCATGACGGTCCGTGAATTACCACTCAGGCCATCTTTAAGAATCCGGGTCAGTTTGCTGTAGCCATTCATCATGTGCATAAGAAAATGTCATTAGAAACTGCACACAACCAATTATATCCTTTATCTAACCTATTTAATTAGATTTCCAATAACAACAAACCTGTTACGATAAGGGACATAAGCAAGACCCTTCTTCTGTTGTTTTCCCAGAGCATTAATGCAGTTTGCCAAAGCTAGGAGGGAACGGTTAATATTAGCCCCATCTCTTAGCTTTTGGCCCACATTATTTGTTTCAGAAGCGCGCTCACTACCAGCAAGATCTACAAGTGCAAGTTTTCCTTTCATGATTTGATCTCGATACTTGTTTCTTTGCCGTCTTTTCACAGTAATCTCTAGGACGGCATGTGACCTGATCATACAGAAACAGTGAGAGACGCAAGAAAATTCTGTTGCATAAACTAATAGCAGGTAATATTTCTAGCAGCAGCTCCCTTGACCACCAAGATTTCGCAAGCCCATTTGAAATTGCATGTGTGAAATGATAGTTATGTTTTAGTTTGATCTTTGCAAAAGCTACTACCAAAACTGGAAGAGAGGTATCACAAGCACTCAATAAAAGAGATAAATTCATCAGTCTAACAGTTAAAAATCATAGAGATTTGCCAAATCGGGCAACTTAAAGTAAGGGACTACAGAGAGTAGAGAAAGCAAACCTTGAGGATGTAGCATTGGCCTCCGTGCTTTCTGTTTTTCTTCTACTATTTCCCAAGTTCAATAGTTCAAGAATCTTATCAGCTGAATGAACCTGAAACAGAACCAGCAATGGTTAATCATCAATCTGAGTTCACATTTGTACAAGCTTCAGAACATAAGACCCTGGGTGCCAAAAGCTAAGCATTGTTCTGCATAAACTAAAGCACTAAATCAGAAGTTAAGAAAAAAACATAAAATAGATGCAAGAACACTGATGACCAGTCTTTGGTAGCCAATAAGCCACCATCCCAATGTTTCTTGAAGTGAATTTGGGTTTGTACTTAAAAGCACAATGTGAACATTTGAGTTTATGAAACATGGCAAGGCATTATTCACTACATACTTCATTGTACTTTACATGTTCACAAGAATGCCAGTATGTTTTGCAATGCACCTTCTGGCACCAGTATCACTAAAATGATGAGAAATGACTGACCTTGATGCATTTCAGCCCAGCAACAACAATTCCTTGTTCTGGGTCTTCACGAAGTTCAAGGTGACCTGATGATTTCTCAAGTAGATCATAGATAACCTGCATACATTCTGGAGGAGTCAAGCAGATTCACAAAGGAACTAAAACACTTTGATGAGCTTTATTTAAGTAAAGAGATTCCCTACTTCATTGTAGACTTCCAAATAGGAGCATGTAACATCAAATTCATCAGTGTCCTTATCACTTTTAATGAGATCAAAAATAGTATGCAGGCTGAGAACCATAAGTCCAGGGTCATCCGACTTCCCCACCATCGTATAAGTCTTCCCGCTGGGGAGCAACACAAGACCAAAACAGGGAAATTATCGTTAGACTAAACTTCACAGTTTATGCTATCATTTAGAGCACTTAAGTCCCAAAGGGATCGAATGTTCACAATTGGAAATAATATTAATCCTCAGACTCTTGTGGTTGCTTGTTCAGGAGTGCCAAAGCAGTATGATAACACGTTGAGATAACTCAGCAAGCCGATCGTCAGCAGTTTCAATCAATGCCCTGATGTTCTTTCTGTAAAGTTGGGTGATTATTAACAGGAGCAGTACCTTCCGGTTGAACCATAGGCAAACACGGTAGCATTCAGACCTTGAACAACCCCAGAGATCACCGACGATATACAGGTTTTATAAACCTCCTGTACACACAATAAAAAAAAAATCAAACAAATCGCAAACTGATAAGAGGACAAAACTCTAAACAGAAGGAATCCGCGAAACTTCCAAGCGGAGAGAGAGAGGGGAATAAAAGATTGCGGAATCGTGAATGCCGACGCGTACCGAGTTGGCCGAGTCAGGACCGAAGGCGTGATCGAAGCAATAGCTCTTCTCTTTGGTCCGATGCTGCACTCGATCCAGATAGTCCTTGGACAAGTCGGGATCTAAGACACGAACCGCCTGCGATCACAGGCCAAAATTAAAGAAAAGGAAGCGGAAATTCTCACGGTTAGAATGGCAACCACCGCCTAAGCAAGAACACTAGCAAAAGACGCCGACGGCCTACATGACTGTCACTGAAACGGACGATGTTACGGCCGCGCTCTTTCTCAGCTAACGGCCTGCACTTGACAGCAACCTGAAGAACCAAAGCAAGAGAAAAGAGCGATGTAACAGCTGCGGGAACACTGAATTAGGCAGAGTCGGAGTCCCGAGCCAGTAAGAAAGACAGAGAAGGAGAATCGGAGAGACAAGGAGAACTTACAGTGAGCGTAGTAGCTTTCTTCGCAGCCGGAGCTCGAATACTAGGCATAACTTTCAATCCGGATGGTCAAAATTAACGCGAATTCAGCTCTTTCTGCGTCTCTCCCTCTGAAAGAAACAAACAAGCAGTCGAAGTATACACAGTAACACGCTGCGGAAGAAGTGAAATTAGTGCTCGGCCATGGGAATTGGGGCGAAGAAATGAGTGGGATGAACTAGGTGATGCTGAGAGAGTGGAAGAAAGAATCGAGGGAGCGAGAAAGATCTGAGGGAGGAGAGATATCAGGTGGTGGTTGCGAGCGAAACGGATGGCAGGAGAGGCGGAGGGAAACGGAAAACAAATTTTGAACAGAAAATGAATGCGACAGAGAGAGAAAGTGCTGGACGGCTGATTGTACGAAGGAGGAGGAGGAGGAGGAACGGAAGGACGGAGAGAGAGAGAGCGGCGAGGAGGGAAAGAAAGATTCAAGAGCGGCATTTTTGGCAAATGGCAAATACAAGAGGGAGGAGACCGGCGAAGAGAATAAAATAATAATAAATATTATGAAAATGAATGGGTTTTTGTTTTTATTTGCCGGGGTTGGTTGTCGCCTGTCGGTTGAGGCTGGGCCGTTGTGGTGGAGCCGCGTTTGGAATGGTAAGAACGAGCGGGAGGATGGAACTAATACAACTTCGTTTGGTTTGGTGATTGTTACAATGCACGCATTATCGGGTTAATTGTAATGATGGTTACTGGGTTTACTAAAACAGATCATGTTGCTTTCTGCGCACGAGAACGTGGCCATGAAGTGGGATGAAGCAAAGCGAGGCCGGCGTTGAGGAAGGAGCAGCGGCGGAGACGATCGCGTCATGGCCACGGTGGCGTAGATGGCGGAGGTAAGTTTTATTTTTATTTTTTAATAGTTGTAAAATGAGGTGGAAATTGTAAATATTTAAATATTATTATTTTTTAATGGCCACGTCACTCATTTAACGGTCAACTATAATAGTTGACTGCCACATCAGCAAAAACTAACAGAGACTAACGGAGAGTGACCAAACTTGAACTATTGAACTAATCTTAGTGACCATGAATGGAATTAAATATTTGCAGTGACCAAACATGAACGGTTTTAGTAAACCCAGTGACCATCCTTGGAATTAACCCACGCATTATCTATAATATTTTTTTTTTCTACACAACAATATATGTATTGTTTGCCTTATTTGACACAATTGCTTGATTTGACACAACTAGTCGTTTGGTTTTTGTGATAGTTAAATAGATGTATTATCATCAATGCATGCATAATAATATACATGTATATACGAAAATTGGTGTATTGTAGTTTACATTGTTTGGTTTTTGTGATAGTTTTTGTGTTATTGAAATAATTTATATTATTTTTGGGTGAAATATCACTTTTTCCCTTTGTTTTTAATATAAAAAAGTAGGGCTGGGAAAATAGACCAGACCGTTAGAAAAACCGTGGTCCAAACCATACCGCACAGTTTGGTCCGGGCCGTAGACCGTTAAGTATGGTCTGGTCTGGTCCATGGTTTATATTATTTTATGTTTTGATCTCTTGGTCAGGTTTGGTCTAGACCACGTTTTACCGGACCCAACCTACTTGTCAATACGTGTTAACAACCAATTCGACCACTCTCTCAAGTCCCACAACGACACCCAAGTCTCAACCTTAATTTTGTGAATCTCGTCTAACCTTCAGTCACAACCACATTTAACCAGAGAGTAGAGATAATCATGTCTCCATATGACAGTATGTTAATGTTTAACGTTATGGTGCAAGTTGGGATGCTTTTACTTTATATCTTTGGTATGTACTAAGATTTAGGGTATCAAAATTATTCATGCATGTTAGGATTAATGTTTTAAGGCAAATAACAATTATTTTCTTGATTATTGGTTCAATTTTTTTGTGGTTGACTAAACAAATTATTCATTTTTCGTTGAGTGTGGTCTATCTAGACCAGAACAGACCGAACCAGACCGCACAGGCGTGGTTTAGACCGAACCGTATAGTCTGTGGTCGGATTTGTGGTCTATACTTCAGCCTCTCGGTCTAGACCATAGACCGTATATATGGTCTGGTCTGGACCAGACCGCACCGTTTCCCAACCCTATAAAAAAGCAACACACATAAAAAGGCAGGGACATACTACTTAAATGAAATAGATGGTTGTACTTGTAATGAGTTGTATGGGAGTAGATAGACATGATAAAACATGGACAATGATCAAGACGTCATGGTTTGGAGTTCTGGAATGGATTGGATCAAGGAGAGTGAAGGTTTCCTGACATACCCAAGAACGCGGGCTTGCTAGACAAGAACACAGACGTGTAATCCTTAGGGGAGACCGCGTTCTCTGGGATGAAGAACATGGTCTGGCTCTGGGATGAAGAACGCGACCACGTAACTGAGTTAATAGGTCGCGTTCTCAATTACGAGAATGGGCAGGAAAATGCAGGCTAGAGGTACCAAAGAACGTGATTGCTTTCTTGGTTCCCAAGGCTACGTTTTCACTGACAAGAATGAAGGAGGACATCACGGAGTGAAGATTGGAGAACACGGGTTGTCCAAGGGAAAACGTGACTACGTTTTCTCACGTACAGACCGTGTTTCCTTAGATCAACCCCAGATGGGAGGATTCAATCTAAGCTTGCATTGTGTAGTGCTTATGGATGAATACCATTGTGTTGATATTGTTGGTATGTCAGTTTTTACTCATTGAGTTGACGTCTCTCCCTATCAAAAAAATTCCCAGATATGAAGTTGTTGACTGGAAGTCAAGAAATTCAGCAAGACTTAGCTCAGCAGCAATGAGGTGGGACGTTGGGCTCGACATGACCATGATTATAAGTGTTTTGAGAGAAGATTATTTTCTCCATTGTCATGTGTTTACAAAGTTTTTAAAGTTATTTTTGTAAATAATGATTTGGTGTGTAAACTAAACAAGAATGTGTATGGTTTGAGAAGTATAATCATGTAAAATGGTTTTAGATATGTATGGGTGTTAAAGTATATGCTAGGTTTGTAATAGCTTTATGTAATTTATCTCATTATTATTCAAACAAATATCTAGTAAAATGAGAGTAGCACGACAATGGATGGGGCTGGGTTGGGCATCTGTAAATCGAAAACCAACACAACGGATACACGCACAAAAGAAATCAAGTATGAAATATCAATTGGCTTTTAGAAGCAAAAATCCAATGTAACTCAACCCAATGGGTACCCACGGGTGCATGGGTACATATGGGTTCATGAAAATAACCACACATTATTTCTCTGAACACACATATCTCAACATTATAAAAGATTCCTACACATATATTTCTATAAAACAAACTAATAAAATACCTAAAATATCTATATTATGAGGATTGTTTTATCATAAAGACTAATAACCTCCATAAATTATCCATGTTGTTAAGATTAGATACTAAATGATTTCATTTTGTTTCCGAGGTGCGGGTTAGGTAGAAAGCATGTTAGATTTTGACAAAACCCAAACCTCGTTAATTTTAAAAGTGGGTAAAACTTGAACCCAACTAATAATCCATCAACACTGGGTTTTATCCGCTTTAATCGGATTGGGTCGGATTGAGTACCGTGAATTCAAGTTCAATTGTCATCCCTACTAACACCCTTTACTACCAATCAAACTTTTAAGGCTTGGAAATTCCAACATTGTCTTCAAAACGGTTAAAGACCCTTTGTCGGTCAATACAAGTTATGAGAGGCCACCATTAAGGATGAAAAGGCAGATATTTCAATAGTCATACCGATCGATACCCTGTCCCGCACCAAGTGTGGGTCATGTCAGATAATACTCGTACGGGTACGAGTCAAGACGGCCCGTGTTGACTCATTCTCACATGTTATTTGAAGAAAATAAATGTAAAAAAATGATTCTTTTATGTTAAAGTAAAGAGAAGACAATTCATAAATGTGATACAGTGATAATAAAATGGGTAATTGAGTCTATATAATTGAAAGATCAAGTCTGGTATCTATTTAAAGTTTCGTTAGGTGAAAATATGATTGAAAAAAGTTAGAATAGGAGAAATACAAATGTATGTTGAAGAAACTTGAGATAGCACTGATCAAGAATAGTGCAGGCTGGGGCGAGACGAGACAAGTCGAAAGTAGTAGTCCATGTCCTTCCCCACGATGTTGCGGGTCGGATAATATACTTGTTAGTGGCGGAGCCAGAAGGTTAAAATAGGTGTGTCCTTTAATATAATATAAATATATGAATACATATTATTAGAAAATATTATTCAAGTAATTCATTTTTAAAAGAAATAATAACTTATGAATACAAATTTCTTTTTGTATAAACAATTGTGACGTGCTTTCATATATGGAAAGAATTGTTAAAAAAACATCAATAGCCTATAAAACTTCTAGTTTTACATAAATGTCTAGTAATCGAATTCTTTCTTTCTTTCTTTTTTTTTTGGACAGAGACTCGAATTCTATATATACACATGAGCACTTCTACTATGCTATATAGCATTGGTGCTTTAATGTACAACTCAAAGTTGTAACATAACATTAAATGTATAAGTTTAGGTTGTACCATAAAGCAATTTGTACCATTATGTTATGGTACAATTTTACAACTTGAAGTTGTACCATCACATAAAGGTACAAGTTCAAGTTGTACCATAAAAGAATTTGTACAAAAAGTATAGGTACAACATGAAGTTGTACCATAACATAAATGTACAATTTCAAATTGTACCATAAAGGCAAAAACCTATAGCACCAATACTATATCGCATTGTAAAATTTCTCATATACACATATGTATGTGAAATAAATAAAGTTTTTCAAATTTTAGATGTGGCATGTGGCAGAATCAAATATGAATGACTTTGCTACTAAAATCCTCCACAACATAGATCAGGTCGGATATTATTAGACGGATTCAAATTATCATCTCTAGAAAACTATTTATTAAGGAATCAATTGTGATATGACTTGAGAAGTCATTTTGACTTGCATTAGTTATTCCTTGCAAAAGAGAGAACAATCACAAATGGTTGAAAAGAAGAACAAAGAAGGGAACTACCAGCCAACTTGGAAGGATAGCTTTTTGTGGAAAAACAAAGCCAGCAAGGCTTCTGCAGAAAGCACAAGGATCTGTCACAATGATTTGGTGCCACGAACAGACAAAACATGGGAAATAAAAGCAATGAACAAAGTTAATTAAGAAAGCATTTTATTTTATACATCTTTCCTAATACAATGAACAAAGTTAATTAAGTAAGCATTTTTTAATACACCTTTCCTAATATGGTTAGATCAGGGGAGTAGACTTTACCAATATAAACATATTAGAGATCATTAAACCCCACCGACATTGGGATAAATGACACAAATATTGTTTTTTTTTTTAATTTACCACCAATATGGCGGATTAAGAAGTATTTACAGAGATATTGTGTTTTGGACACACAAAATGGCGACAACACCTGG